GCACTGCTCATTGTGTGAAAGGGGGGAGCTCCCCAACCCCCTGATTGGCCATGCTCTGTGCATGACAGGGTACGGAGCCCCAACCCCCTAATGGGCCCTGCTCTGTGCATGACAGGGGGTGCCGCCCCACCTCCCCAATTGGCCCTGCTCTGAGCCCGACCAGGGGCTGCACCTAGGGATTGGGCCTGCCTTCTGCCACCCGGGAGCAGGCCTAAGCCAGCAGGTCGTTATCTCCTGCAGGGTCCCAGACTGCGAGAGGGCACAGGCCAGGCTGAGGAACCCCCCTCCCCCACCAGAGTGCACAAATTTTTGTGCACCGGGCCTCTAGTATAGTCAATAATATTGTAATAACTATATATTGTGCCAGGTGGGTACTGAAAATATTGGGGGAAACACTTTGTAAAATATGTGATTTGTCTAACTACAATGCTGTATACCTGGAACTAATTCAAATAATACTGAATGTAAACTGTAATTGAGACACAAAATAATAAAAGTACAAGTACAGCGTATGTTAACATTACTTGTGAATTTCTCACAAAGACCAGAAGGGGGAGCCAGTGGTTCAACTTGTATGCTAGAAGGCATGCATCCAGGAAGCTGTGGAGTTGAGGAGACCAGGCAAGGGAAAAATGGTCCTTGATAAGGGCACTGACCATTGCTGGGCTTATTATTTATCTCTGAGATGGCAGGAGGTCCTTTGGGGAAAATAAAATAATTACCGTCCATTGCTTAAGGACAGATAAGAAGTTAATAGCTGCTGTAATACTCAGGCACGTATTTTACTCAGTTTCTGTTTATTTTTGTTGACTAACAACATATGCCTAAGATACAAGTTATAAGGCCTTGAGGAAGTAGAACTGTATTCGATTATATTGCTGTTCAAAAATCATTCTCCACCCTTCCCATTTGACATTAAGCTTGGCTGTATGACCTGCTCTGGCCAATAAAATATGAATAGAAGTGGTATGCTTCTCCTTTTGAAAGGGAGCTTTAAGAAACAGTTCTGGACTCATTATGCTTCTCTTTTTCTTCAGCCATGATCAGCCACGTCCCAAACAGGGGCTGGTGTCAGTCTGGGTCCTGGAATAAAAAAGACATGGGTCGAGGCATAGTCGACCCATGACGTACATATGGTATAAGAAAAAAATAATCTGTGTTGCCAGTCACTGTAAGCAGGGTAATTTGCTACAGCACGGCATACTTTAGCTCAATAACTAATACACAGATTACTGCCGCAGTGGCCCTTAGATACATATGCTCTCCCTTGGTAGAGAAGCTGTGAACTTAGAGGCTCCCTGCTAAATACCTGGTGGCTATTGGTAGGGAACTAAAAATCCGATTAGTGCCAAGGAAATCAGAGGGATTAATAATGAATGGTGTAACTTTATGTCCTCCAGGGAGGGTTCCCTAATGAGAATTATACTCCTTCTGAAATTGAATAAGCTACTATAAAATATAATAATTAAGTAGGTAAACAAGAATGCCGACTCAGTCTAACTTTCTACATAGAAGTCTGCAGAGCATAAAATGCTCTCAACTCTGATAAACCTATAATACTGCATCAGAGAATACACCTCTCCTTTTTAGCAAAAGCTTCTTTGAGGTCTATCTTGATGGCCAGGGATTCCAGGTACTAAACATACTAGTTTTTATTCTATTAGTTTCAACTGCTAAGAAACCATACCTCTAAGGTTCAATACATTCTAATGCTGTGAGTCCAAAAAAAATGTTCCCACAGATTAGAATACGGACATGGATGTCGTGCTATAAGGGATTAAGAAAGATGAAGATGGACATTTCTTGGCGGAGCCTCACAGATGTGACATTTCTAAAAAGCAGTTGATTAAAAGCCTCCAAGACTTAAAAAAAAACCCAGAAGTTCCTGGATTCCACATATTTCGATCGGTAGGTCTCAGTATTCCTTACTTAGGCAAGGTGAAGAGAAACTTTTCCTAATTTTGTATTCAACTGTCATATTCAAGAAGCATTTAGCTTCAAACTAAAAGTCTGTAGGGAAGAGTGTAAGGGCTGAGATCAGATAGGAATGGAGTCAGAGCGACTTTCTTTATCCTTTGTCCACTAATAGTCTAAACATAGTGCCAAAATATGCTACAAACTGATGCCCGATCTGTAGTGTAACCGCTCAGTGAGCCAAACCTGGTGCGTCTGGGCATAGCAATGGCGATGCTCAGTTACAAGAGAGGGGCAGCACTGGCATTACAGGACATTTTGCTAAAACCACTGAATCTGCATTTCTGGGGTAAGATAAGGCAAATATGGCAAAAAAAGCTTGAGAAGTGATTTTTATTATGTACTTCTGAATAGAAATCACTGTCTTAGGATAGTGGCCGCAAATTTGCAGATTGTGAAACAATTTTAGTCAACACATATTTGACTCATTCACTGCTTTTGTAAAATGTGAGTTAATTGACATTAAAAATTACATGCAAATATGGATTTCCAGAATGAAAAGTTTGGAAGCTCTGGGAAGAATGGAAATAAAATAATATGTGATAAAAATGGAGTGGAGACAGAGCATCAGCCAAGATGTAACAGAGGAAAGAACATAATTTTGGGTTTCAGAACATGGGCTATCTACCTTCCTTTATGGTTTTGTGTAACTTTCTTTTTAAAATAACTTCTCAGAGGATGGTAGACAGGTTCTTGACATGCATGGTTGCTATTAGGGCTAGGAAGCTTGGGGAAGCTTCTACAAACTATTTGCTCTCCCAGTAACTGCTTTCCCTTTCTACGTCTCCACTTCAATAACCAAACTATCTCTCTACCTACATACCTGTTTACCTACATACATATTTACCTACCTACCTAAAATACAGTCTCTAAAAGTAATTAAGGATGCCAACATAGACTACTGAAATTTGTATTTTGGACAAAGGTTATCAATTATATTTTAAAGACATACTCCAAAGGTATTAACTCAATTTATGATAACTTCCTTCTACATATCTAATGTACAGGTGTCATATACTCACTCAGTTATATAGAAAGATGACTTTCATAGGTAAACCATGCATTATAAATACAAATTATAATATGTTTAAATACTGTCATGAAACAGGCCAGTTCTAAAAAAAATATATACCATTTCTAGGCCAAAAGAATCCACACCCCAAAATCA